CAGTCATTCGGATCGGTATTTCATTCACTATTAGTCGTTCGCTCCAGTCCTCGTGCTAATCACCCATATTCAGTTGCATTCCTGAATACATATCTGATGATTGGATCGTTTTCGTTTGTCATATAAATCATTTTTATTTTTGTTCATGAAAGAAAATTAACATTTTCGTGTAGTATCACTTTCTTGCAAAAACTTTTTTTTTCAACGGTCAAAACCAATAAAATTGTCTCACACTGTTATTGGATTGTGCGAGCAGTAGAGTTTGCAAACGATTCAGTTTGTCTCTGATGAATGATCAGAAAATGAATTCTTAGATTATCTGGTAAGAATGCGATTGATCATAACGAAATTGTTGACAAATTCAAAATTGCACTGGAAAACTTTGAGCGTTTTTCATTTGCGTCATTGATTGAATACGAATGCATGATGAAAGCTGCATCCGTACTTCGACTTCAACGTCTGTACATCGAAATGGAGGTGAGTTCCATTCGAGATTGTTGAGTGTAAATACTCTCGGATTTAATTTGTTTCGATTCGAATTGAATTGCAATTTATAGGCGTTCATCAGAGAGCATGTCGGTAAATATTTAGATGATAGTTTCACATTATTCGATCACAACACCAAAGCAAACATCTGTCAGAATTCGGCGTCAGTCTATCGCATGGTTAGTGCTTTTGTTGTGTTTGTTGCTGTGGTGATCGATCCATTGTTTTGTTTCTTTTGGATGATTTGCAACTTACAAAAATTGTTTCATTTTTATTGTTGTACCGAATATTTGTTTGAACCGAAGAGCATATTTTCTATGTAACAGATACCATAGCAAAGTTTGCACGTTATACATGGCTCAAATGAATGTAGCGTGATAAACTTATCAGTCAGCTAATTCAACTCATTACTGCTTAGTTGTGACTGAGAATTATCATCCAAACTGAATAGAGTGTCAATATGTATCCTCTGTAGAACAACCAAACACTATGCTCAATTCCAGATCGGTTTCAAACGCAAATATGCATTTTTCGCTCGTCTGTCGGTATTATTCCGTTTGCATATGAGCGAAAGTGAGGTACGTACGGCATCAGACTACCGTCAGGTATACCCGACATTATATCACACTCTGAGTGGATATGGGATCGCGGAAAAGCCGAAGGATGTTTATGGTGATGAATTGATAATGAATGGCCCAGTGCATGTGCAGCGAAGGGCATTGCACGAGGTGTTGATGAGTGCACTGCGTGCAGAGTACCACCATGCAGCCATTCGACATCTGTGTTATTTATTACAGGTATTTGCTAAGTTCTGTTATGTCGTTCTTGAAGTGATATCGTCCATTTAAGGTATACTATGAATATATGGATATGGAGACAACATCCCGCATCTTAGATGAATTATCACATTTAGTGGAAGCATCCAGCTCACAACATCAACTCAATCAGCATATTACACTACCTCAAACCGATATCATCATTCCACCCATTCAAATGACAAGATTCCCCAGACTCCAGTAGTCATCTTTTCATATTACCATTTCCTTCTCTTATACCATTCTAGAGACTGAAACTGTTCCATATTTACCATGCTGTAGATTGAACGAATCGCTTTGTTTAAAACATTCATAGTAAAAAATTTACATTGAGAAACCGATAAGATTCCAGAGAGTGTTGCAAAATTTAAAAAAAAACTTTTTTTCGGACTTCTTTCCTTTTAAGAAAATTCTCTGTATGCGCTCTCCCGCCACATCTTGCGCCAGTGGTCACTCGGCCGCGAACAGATGCCGATATCTTCATTTATTCACCTTTCCAAGTGTCCGATACGACCTCTAAGGGTTGACTTTTCATTCTAATTGTATGATTCTTTTGTCAAATTTCTCTTCAAGTAAGTTCCAAGCAGATTTCAATTAATTATGATCTAATGGTGCAAAACGCGAGAAAATACTTCCAGTATTAAACTTTCGAAGAAACTAACAGTGAACTAAAAAACTGCTATCTTATTATAAACAAATGATGCTAATTATAAGCAAATTGAACTGATATCAGTATCCGAAAGCGATGAATAAATTTCAGCAATTTGTTGGGTTGTCGATTGTGCATGTGAGGTGTCTGTATCGGTGAGCAACTGTTTACCGTTCGAGTTGGCCGTCAATAATTTAACGCTTCTATCTGAGGGTTGCGCACTCGAGACGGTACCCGTTCGACTGAATCTTGCACCGTGCTCAGACACCTCTGAATCAGTTGATATCAAACTCATCGGTGTTCCGAGGTCTCTTCTTCTCTTCTTTTTCATTCCATCTTTTCACATGTCCATCATCAAATACTCTCGTGCATCCCCTCCTTCGTTTTAATTTGATCATATTTTTCGTCATATTTAATGTTATCATTCTGAGATTCAGCTAAATAAATAAAAATAATGGTTCTAGAGGTAAGTAATACCGGTGTTCATGGCAGTAATAATACCAACAACAATTTTAGAGAGCCAGGTAAATTGACAATAACAGGATATTCGTGCGAGGTGATTGGTGTGCGTAATGTGTGTCGATTACGCGATCTGCCATTATCTGCTGAATCAGCGCACAGCAGCGAGAGTAAGAAGTGCAAAGAGAACGCTAATCATAACCATTCGTCAAATCCATCTGTCTTCAACGTTCAGGTATTTGTCTTCAACGTTCAAGTATATCGAAACTCTTCAGAATGTTCGTCAGAATGAATGCTTTCGTATCGAAAGAAGTTTGATGCGATATATGAAGAGGAATTAATTGGATTTGTATGATACAGCTATCACCGAGCAGTTCTTTTCGTTCAAAATACTGATTATCTCTCTGTAAAATTTATTTTTCGCAGTTAGTTCGTGGTACCGATTACCATAGTGATCTAGCAATAGTAATAGTGATTTAAGGTATTGCCAGCGTTGCCTGTGCTTGAATTACAAACATCTCT